CCCATTGTGTTTCAGCATATCCTCCTATTCACCAGTGAACCTTACTTTGGATGTTAATCTGTCTCTTTAATTGCTGCTGGCACACAGACAAAGGGAGGAATTGGGAATCTCATTGTCTAATTTGTATTTCTCCAAGTTTAGTGGAATAGAGCATCTTTTATGTTTATTGGCCATTTGTATATTTTTGTATATTTCTCATTGTTCCATTGACTTATTATTATATATGAGTATTTGTGCTTTTCTTATTGATTGTAGGAACTCATTATATCTCCCAGATATTAATCTTTATGTAGCATGCAATTTGCAAAATATTTTCCCGTTTCTCTTTTGAATTTTAACTGTGATTGCTTGTTTCCAGCAAGTTAAAAGTAATGCCATCTACTGTTCTCAAATTCTTCAAAATATTACTATTATTTCTAACAACATAGAAGCTGAGAAAAAGGTGAGATGCTTTCTTTTCAACTAAAATACTTCTGCTGTTATTTTCTGTTGATTGAGAGGCAACTGTCTTTTCTAACGGATTAAAAGGTGAGATTTTTTTATAAGGGATTAAGTAGTAGCATGGAATGGTAAAAGTAGAAGAGCTTTTAAGTTTCTCTTAATTATTTTGTTTGTTACTGTACAGAACATCAGACAGGACCATGTGCAAATGTGTGAACAAAAATGACATTCTACAGCCAAATAGAAAATACTCTTGGATTGTCTATCATTAAATAGGATTCATATTACATCTTAGCTCACAATGTCCAGATTGTTTTTAAAAATGACTTTTAAAAACTAGTTTGAGCTTTAAAACCAATACTCAATCATTTCCATGAAAATCCCAACTAATGCTAAGTAAAAAGAAAAATTGCTATCTTTATTTCACCTTTCTTTTTTTGGAAAGTATATTTCTTATGTTATCAATCTCTTATGTTGTTTATGAAACACACAAACAAAAAATCTACATGATATCGTAAATTTAAAGAATAAGTTTGTTTTTGGACAAAAGAGAAAAAGCAGTGAGTATCATTTATTCATTTGGTAGTATCAAGGAATGTATAACAAAGAGCATGATAGAACCATGTTTGCCCGCTATGGATAAGTCTATTGGAGAAGATAGATAATTAGTGATATTTGCAAATGTATATTTCTATTAGTTATGGTAAAAAAAAAGAATACATAAGATCTTTTAAATGTTTGAAAGATCTTAAAATGTTTGAAGACCTTATCCAGGGTGATATTAAAAATATTTAGTAATAATCAGCAATACCATCAACCAATCAAAACAGACAGAAGCTGGTCAGCCACATCAAATACTGGCTGAACTTTAGCCCTGGTTATATTAATTTAGGGATTTCCACTAATAGTAAGTGGAATGATAGCTGGTGTAGAAATAGTCATTCTACGTAAGTCTCTTTTTAAGTTGTTGGTCACAGATGCAAAGCTATTTAAAAACATACATATATAGAATGAGAAAAACTCAGCTAGATTTTAAATTTTTGGTATTTTTTTTTTAATCTTCACTCGAGTTGGGGGAGAGAGAGAGAGAGAGAGAGAGAAAGAGAGAGAGAGAGGTTAGGGATCAAACCTGCAACCCAGGTATGTGCCCTGACTGGGAATTGAACTGGTAACCTTTCAGTGCACAGGACAACACTCAACAAACTGAGCCACTCCAGCTGGGCATACATTTTTGGTATTTTTCATTTCTTAATTTTTAGCAGATTTATTTTGTAAAGTTTTATTATTATTTTGAATTGATAATATGTTCACATGATTAAAAATATCAAAAAGTATGAAAAGCTATTCAGAAAAAAGAGTCTCTTCCACCCTGCCACAGACTCACAGTTGCCCCTTTTCTCATGAATCCTTCCAGAGACATTATATATATATTTTTCTGCTTTGGTTAATAAATATCTTTAGGCTGAAGCTTGTAGACCAACACAGAAAAGAACTGGTGACCAACTAAGGTAACAAAAACAGTAAGAAATAAACCTTTATGCTAGTTTTAGTGCAAAGGACTGAATGTTTGTATCCCGCCAAACCCCAAATTCATATGTTGAAACCTACCCCCCAAGATGATGGTATTAGGAGGTGGGGCCTTTGAGAGGTGATTAGGTCATGAGGGTGGGGCTCCCATGAATGGGATGAGTGCCCTTATAAAAGAGGCCCCAGAGAGATTCCTCACTCCTTGAGCCATGTCAAGTTACAGTGAAAAGGCAATAGTCTATGAACCAGAAAGTGGGATCTCACTAGACAGTGAATTTGCAAGGGCCTTGATCTTGGACTTCCTAACCTTTAGAACTCTGAGAAATAAATTTTTGTTCTTTAAAAGCCTATGTATTTTGTTATAGCAGTCTGAACAAATTATGATACTTAGGAAAATGAGTTTTAGTAACTCATAGGAAAGGACATACTATCAACTGTTATATTCTGGGTTAAAGATGTCACTTAAGGAAGAAGGCTTTGTATGCTTTAAAAATAGAATATTTCAAGTTTATTACATATATCAAGAGTTAAAGAGCCTGGCCCGTGTGGCTCAGTGGAGTGTTGTCCCATGCACCAAGAAGGTCGATGGCTCAATTACCAGTCCAGGCACATGCCAGGTTGTGGGCTTGATTCTCAATAAGCCCGGGATGTGAGGTAGGCAGCCGATTGATATTTCTTTCTCATTGATGTTTCTATCTTTCCCTTCCTTCCTCTCTAAAATCAATAAAAACATATTAAAAAAAAAAAAGATTGCCCTAACTGGTTTGGCTCAGTGGATAGAGCATTGGCCTGCGGACTGAAAGGTCTTAGGTTCCGTTCTGGTCAAGGACATGTACCTTGGTTGCGGGCACATCCCCAGTAGGAGGCGTGCAGGAGGCAGCTGATCAATGTTTTTCTCTCATCGATGTTTCTAACTCTCTATCCCTCTCCCTTCCTCTCTGTAAAAAAATCAATAAAATATATTTTAAAAAAACAAGAGACTAAGTATTTAAAAAAAGAATTAAAGAAATCCAAGTATAGTTTTTAAAAGGAATCCTAATTTATTTGTAAAATTGAGATATAATTCACATGCCATAAAATTCAGTGTTTTGAGTGTACAATTCAGTAGTTTGTAGTATATTCACAAGGTTGTATAGCCATCACTATCTAATTCCAGAACATTTTCATTACCCCAAAAAGAAATCTTGTACCCATTACAGTCAATCCCTCTTCCCCTTGTCCTCCAGCCCCTGGAAACCATTAACCTAATTTCTGACAACATGGATTTGCCTTCTGGACTCTTCATAGAAGTGGAATCATATACTATGTGGCCTCTTTCACTTAGCATACTATTTTTCAAGGTTTATCCATGTTGTACCATGTATCAGTACTTTATTGCATTTTCTTACCCTTGCTTTTTAAATTTTTGGTAAAATATACATGACATAAAATTTACTATTTAACCATTGTTAAGTGTTAAGTTTAGTGGCATTAAGTACATTCACATTGTTATGCAACCATCACCGCTACGCTTCTGCAGAACTTTCTCATCATCTCAAAATGAAAATCTGTTTACATTAAACAATAATTTCTCATCTTTTGGCAACCTCTCTTCTACTTTCTGTCTCTATGAATCTGACTACTCTAGGTACTTCATCTAAGTAGAATCCTACAACAACATTTGTCTTCTTGAGCCTGGCTTATTTCACTTACCACAGTGCATTCATATTTCATGTTGTAGCATGTATAAAATTTCCTTCTTTTTCAAGGTTGAATGATATTCCACTGTATGGATATACTAACTTTTGCTTAGTCATTCATAAGTCGATGGATATTTGGATGTTTATGATTTTTTGCTACTATGAAGATTCGTGTACAAGTTTTTGCATGACCATATTTTTTCAATTCTCCTGGGTGGTAGAGACTATTAGATGGGACTGCAGAGTGATTTGATGAGTAATAAACATTGCCCAGAGATGGATACTTTGATCATGACCCAGGGATGGACAAGGACCACTGGGACTTTGTGTCTCATTTGTATGAAGGATAGTTGTATCTTGCTAGATAAAAGCATAAAGTTGTTCCTGTAACCACTTGAATAAGGATGTATGTGGATGCTAAGTAGCCAAATGGTTGAACTGTGTTGGTTATTAAGCTATTGTCTCTCAGATCCAAACTCACCTTTCTGTATTCTACTTTGTGAGTAGAGAAGGCTGGGTCTCTATAAATCGTATTTCTCCTTTGATAGCTGACTCCCTGTTAAATGTTGCCAATGGGGAAGAGGGTACTAGAGGGAAACTCAGGTAGAAGAGCCTTACTCCTTTGTTTCCTTGCTGTTCCTGGCAGCAGCATCCTAACTCTTGACCCTGGCAGCAGCAGTTAATTCCAGGGTCTGATTTTTTCCACACGCCCAGAACCATCACACTTCCTCAGATGTATAGGAATCAGCTGGCTGCTATCTACTTTGTTCCTCAGAAGTCTGGGTCCCCTGTAGGGCTGGTCCGAGCCCCACAGGGTCCTTCTTCTGAACTTCTGAGGTACCAGTAAAGCTGGAAAAAGCTACTTCTGCAGTTCTATTTCCATGGCACCTCAGTGTTCCCTTTTTGTCTTTTCTGTTTTCCAGTATTTGTTTAACCAGTTCTATCTATTTAATGTAATTATGTCTGGGCCTTGGCTGGGTAGCTCAGTTGGTTAGAGTGTCATTCCGATATGCCAAGGTTGCCAGAACATATAAGAAGCAACCAATGAATGCATAAATAAATGGAACAGCAAATTGATGTTTCTCTCTCTCTTTCCCTTCCTCTTCCTCTCTAAAATCAATAAATAAAAAATTTAAAAACATTAATTATGTCTATTAAAATAACTGGTCTAATTTCTATTTTCCTGACAACCATAACTGATAAAGTACCAAAAAACTTCTCAGGCTATGAGCAATCATCACTGATTACCTTACATCTAAACTGAATTCTTTGGGCTCTATGATAACATAACATATTATACAAGTATATTTTATCCGTTTCAAATATAGAAGTAAGTATATTTTAAATGGTTACCCATTTTCCAAGTAGAGCTCTTCTTTCTTCAAATACCTACAATAAATTAAAAATAATGGAATGATTTCATAATTCATGGTTCAAAATACCCATTACAAGAAAGATAGCATTAAAATATCCATAAATAAGTAGTATTTTCATTGCGTCAACAGAATATAAAAAGATTTCATTCTTGAGAAGGTACTTTACTTGTTTTTAACTTGGGCAAGGTATCTTTTTTATCAGTTTCTGCATGTGGAATAATTCATCTTAAAGAAGTAATAATTTTACCCGGCCACATATGAGAGGCAACCTATCAATGTTTCTCTCATCATCTCAAAATGAAAATCTGTTTACATTAAACAATAATTTTCTCTCTTACTCTCTCTCCCTCCCTCTCTTTCTAAACTCAATAAACATATTCTTGGGTGAGAACTAAAAAAAAAAGTAATACTTTTTTAAAGAGAAGAAATTAGAAAAGAATGAGCCATGGCCAGTGTGGCTTAGTTGGCTGAGCATTGTCCCATGCACTGAGAGGTCATCGGTTTGATTCCCAGACAGGGCACATGCCCCAGTTGCAAGCTTTATCCCCAGTAGGGGGTGTGCAGGAGGCAGCTGATCAATGGTTGATCAATGTTTCTCTCTCATTGAAGTTTCTCTCCTTCTCCCTCTCTCTATCTTAAAAAAAAAAAATCAATACTAACATATATATATATATATTTTTTTTTCAAAAGAATGAAACTGTAAAGTGAAATCAACATCAGAATTTGAAAGATGAAAAAACTGACAAAGAAAGCACAGTAAAATGGAGATCTTCCCCTCAAATATTTCAGTATCAATAGTTTGAGAACTTATGAAGTTTATGAACGAGCAGCTCTATTTTTATGTCAGTGTACACACATATTAGTAGGTTTACGTGTACTTATTATGCATCTCTGTGCTTACAACTCAGTGTTTAACTGTATAGGTTTGTTGTTGTATAGTATTTAGGACAGAAATCATGTATTATTCATCTTTCCATCTCCAGTATAGAGTGTTATACACAGTATATCACAGGTACTCATGTTTAATGGATTAAATGAATGTGGCAATGAAAGTGACAATGAATATACTTATGGATATATTGGTACATGTGAATTATTTAGCTATTGATGTAGAGGTGTTTTTCTGAGCATCAGTTACTAGTATATGTGTATCTTAGTGAGTGAAGAAGGGAAAACTAATGTGAGAATGTCTGGCAGGAAACTATGGAGAGAGGAAACAAGAAAAAGTAATGAACAGATGTAAGTGTCTCTCTCACTCCCACACATGCACCCTGTCAGCTTTCAAAATTGGAATCATTTTGAAGGTTGCCAGATGGGAAGGGGTTTGGGAGGATGGATGAAAAAGGTAAAGGGATTAAGAAATACACATTGGTTGTTACAGAATAGTCATTTGCATGTAAAATACACATAGGGAATATAGTCAATAATATTCTAATAACTATGTAGGGTGTAAGATTTATTTGGATGATCAGTTAGTAAGTTATATAATGTCTAATTAATGGGGTGTACACTTGAAACTAATATGTTACTGTATGTCAACTGTAATTGAAAAATAAAAAAATGATTTAAAATAAAAAAATTGGAATCAACGTTTTTCCCTTCCTCTTAGCACTACCTAAATTCTCTGTCACTGCAAGAACATTCCTACTAGAAGAGTAACTCAGGCCTATTTCTTCCCTTTTTGTAGAGGAGGACGAGGAGTTGGCTTTATGCTTCTAATGGATCACACTTTCCTTCCTTTTTTACTCTCAACTCTAGTTTCAAAGGGCATACAAAATGAGGACTGAAATAATTGGTTCAACCACAACCCCAAGGCCAGCGAAATGTCAGTTCTGCTCTTGGTTGGAGAATCTCATACATCACAGGTAGGCTTTCTTTGCACATTAAAGAAGAAAAAGAATGTCCTTCTCTCCTCCCCACTAATTCACTGCCACCTGAGCTACTAGGACCCTCAAATAAACTCAGAATTTCTAGGTGAAAACAGAAGCGTACCTACAGAATACAGAAGACTCAAAAATCTGGATTCAAATATTTCCTGAACTCTTCTCCTCCCTCTAACCAAATCCAATCAGTCATCTATCACCCAAACCAAATTGTCAGCACCACCACTTTTCTGATGCCCAGTGACCTAACTCCTCCCAGCTCATATCCCATGTACAGCGCATGGTCTCTACAGGGTTTGCTATGGCTCTCTAGTTGTTTCTGTTCATTTTATCTTCCCATGTAGATTACAACCACTGTCTCTACATACTCCACAGGTTCTGTGGCAGGCCCTCCAAAAACACTTGCTAATTGAACAATAACAGCAAAAAGCTTCAAAAGTCATAGAATTTTAGTGCTCAGAGAAATCCTAGAGATATTTTTGCCCAATTTCCTTGTTTTATAGAGGTCAACCAGAGGCCCAAAGGGGGTTACACTTACAGATTTTTAAAAATCACGGTTTCCACACTGTCTGTTCAGTTCAACTCTGTACTTGTTTCCTCCCTAGAACCTTGGTCTTCCCTGTCTTGACTTTCAGTTCGACATGCTTTGGCCTTTCAAAAGGAGGAGGGCTGACCATCATGGTGGCCAATGACAGTAAGGAGCATTGGAAACAAAGGAGCACTGACTTGAAGGGGCCAGGAGAATCAGCAAGAAGTAGCAGAAAGGGAGTAGGGTGGGAGGTGGAGAGTGTTATTCAGGCTAAAACAATAGTTTTTAGAGGGCCAACCACCAAGCCTAAGCAGGGTCCAAGTGATAATGGAGAAAATAAAATGAAATAAAGATCGCTAAGAGAGTCACTTAAAATAGAGTCAGAGGCTATTAAGGATTGAGGCTTATGAACCTCTTGTGCCTCAGTTCTCAGAGCTGCGTTTATATTGCTAAAACTGTTACTAAACTACCTCATGGCTGAGCTATAAGCATCCTGGAGCTGAAAACATCTTGGAACAATTGCTACTTGGACACATACACTAGTAGACTTTACTTCCTTCCTTGTCGTTTCTGCTTCCCCCATTTACATATTGGAACTAACCAATCCCTGTGAACCTAGCCAGCAATCCTTTATTTGCATGAAAGAATTATATTTTGTGGATTTGTGTGTTTTTTTTTTTCCTTCTTCTTCTTCTTTTTTTTTTTTTTTTTTTTTAAATAAACCCTGCCTTTGCCTGCTCTCTCCAGAGTGCAGTTTGGGTTGCTACCTGAATCTGTGTCTATCAGATTGCAATCTTTTCGCTCAAATAAATGCTTTTTGTTCAGCAATGTTTTTCATGCTAAAACAATGAGTCTTTAAAGGGCCAACGATCAAGTCTAAGCAGGGGTCAAGCAAATCCAGTTTTTTATCAAAAGGCATCTAGACCCAAGTAGAAACTGACGGGAGTGAATTGGGAGGGAAAACATTAAATGAGTTGAAATCTGGTTCTGACTCTACCCTTGACAAGAAATACAATTTGGGACAAATTAGTTAATTGTCAGGTCCTTAGTCAGAGTCTTATAGTCTCTGGTTGGAGCAAGTCTTCATTTAGAAGATTTGCAATCATGTTCTGCATCTTAAAGAGCTGGAAAACAAAGTATCAATTCAAAATGGAAATATAAAAATGGATCTTCTTTCTTTGCAGAATATTTATAACACAATTTGCTTAGATCCTGCTGTTAAATCAAAATCCTATGTTGTTATTTCAGTCTATTGATACTGCAGTTACATATTTCACTGTGTGACATCATTACAGTGTGGGAATAAGAAATTTAGGGGCTCCTCAATGATGATTGATGGTAACTAGGTGCTTTTCTCAGAACACCCTTCTTTAAAAAAATTATTGATTTCAGAAAGGAAGGGAAGGGAGAGAGAGATAGAAACCTCAATGATCAGAATCATTGATTGGCTGCCTCCTGCACATCCCCCACTGGGAGTCGAGCCTGCAACCTGGGCATGTGCCCTGACCAGGAATCGAACCGTGACCTCCTGGTTCATAGGCCAATGCTCAACTAAAGAGCCACACTGGCTAGGCTCTCAGAACACCCTTTTAAAATGTACTGTACTACATCTGTGAACCATACTCAAAAGAAATGTTGGTTACTTTCAATTCAAATACTAGATGGCCAAGAAATGCGTATACTTTCAAAACATTCCTCCTCTCAAAATTCACAGCGCATGAATTATTTTGAAATCTGTTACATTTGTCCATGTTGATAACGCTGTTTTCCTAGGCATCTCAATTTGAATTCAATCTTTCTGCTTAAAGCCTGCAATGAAGTTAAAATCCTGTGACTCTTATTTTAGTCTGGAATAGTTACATATTTCACATTTTACTACAGAATAGAAGAAAATTAAAACAAAAAACAGGGCCTCAAAATTACACACTGATCATTGGTGACAAGTGCCCTGTTTTATAAATGTAGAAAACCCCTTGAAATTATTGTATGGACACTTTCACATCACCAGCTGTGAATATCACTCGAGGATATTTTTTCCATTGATTTGTGGGGTTTTTTTAGAGAGACTGGAAGGGAGTGGGGGAGGAGAGGAGAAAGAGAGAGAGAGAGAGAGAGAGAGAGAGAGAGAGAGAGAGAGAGAGAGAAACATTGATGTGAGAGAGACACATCAACTGGTTGCCACCTGCACACACTCTGATTGGGGCCAGGATCTATCTGCAACCTAGGTAGTGCTCTTGACTGGGGATTGAACCCAAGATCCTTCGTTGCAAGGGCCAACGCTATAACCACTGACCCATGCCAGTCAGGGCTTGGCGTCTATTTTTAATTCCTTTCATGCAGTCAGAATGCTAGGCCTGAAAGGGATCTTCAAGGTCATCTGATCAGACCTAATCATTTTATAAAGGAGGACAGTAAAGACCAGAGAAGGTAAGGAGCTCCAGTCATGGGAAATTATTGGAACAGCATTTCTTTTAGGTTCAGAGAGGCAAAGGGTCAAATCCAGGCTAAGGAAGGAGGGCTACAGACACAAGAAGGTGAGAGTCAATGGAGGGAGCTTCCAGGGTGACCCCATGTCTTGTGCTCCAGGAACCACAGCAGGCACTGGAGACAGAGAGAAAAGATAGAACCTCAACTCCTGACACATTGGTCGGAAAAAGTGATGAGAGCAAAGAAAAGCAAGCAGGAAGAGGCTTCCCAGAGAAAATGATATTTGATTGACTCTCCCAGAAGGCAATGAGGAGAGTATATGCAAAGGTGTGGAGGTGTGAGAGAGATGGCTCACCTGGGGGCCACTCAGGTGGCCTGGATATAGGATCAGAGGAAGCTGTGGCAGGGGTTGGAACTGGGCTGCTGCTGAGGTCAACTCATGAGGGGTCCTCAATGCTATGCATGGGGGTTTGGAATTTACCCTTCAGAGTGGGGCCTTTTATTAGTTTTATGTAACAGGATTAGATTAGTATTTTAGAAATATTATTCTGAGATCAAAATAGAAAATGGATTAATAGGGACAGAGGCAGTGAAACCTGTTAGGGGGTTATTACAATGCACCAGGCAAGGGTGATGAGAGTGTGAACTGAGAATGTGGAACTGGAGATAGATGTAAATGGAGAAAAGGAGCCTGGGTGATGAGCTCTAGGAGGAAGGCTCCTAGAACTTGAAAACGAATTGGATATGGAGGTTGAGGGGTGCTGGTAGACACGCCTCCCTGGGCCTCTCACACTCCTAAATGTCTTGGAATATCAAGAATGCAAGGCCCTGACCGCCATTTCTCCAAGTTTTGTTTTTAGGAAGGCAAACTTGAGTACTGCAGTACTCTCTCCCTTTGGGACCAAGAGCAGGCTTGTTTACTCTAAAAGCAGTGGATTCTCTGGCCTCATAGTTCCTCAGCTGTGACACAAACCCAAGGTGTGTGTGTTATTTATCTGGGCCCTCTGCATCGCTCCTGTCGGACAAGGCAGGCAGGGAGAACTGTCACCAACATGATGCTCATGCTTCACTGTGAGTGATAAAGTTCTTTGTCTCTGACCCCAGACTCTTGCATCTTTTACTATGAAACTGTAGTGTCTTCTATGCCATAAGTAACAGGCTAAGTTATTAGCTTGTAAATTGGGGGAAACCAAATTCCAGACCAACAGAGAGAAGGAAGATTTCTGGTTTAAGTGACCTGGAGTGAAGTGGGACTTGGTGTTTCACGAGGGGAAGGAACTAATGTGTAGGAGCAAGATAATGAGGACAGTTTTGCTGATTTTACTGCCAACTAGTGTGGTCCTTGTAACAGTAATAGTTGCTCCTAGAACAATGAGGGGGTTAGGGACACTGACCCCCTACACCAGGGGTCCTCAAACTACAGCCCGCGGGCCACATGCAAATACAAATATTGTATTTGTTCCCGTTTTGTTTTTTTACTTCAAAATAAGATATGTGCAGTATGCATAGGAATTTGTTCATAGTTTTTTTTAAACTATAGTCCGGCCCTCCAACGGTCTGAGGGACAGTGAACTGGCCCCCTGTTTAAAAAGTTTGAGGACTCCTGCCCTACACAGTCGAAAATCCATGTATAAATGGACCTGCACAGTTCAAACATGTGTTGGTCAAGTCACCTGTACTGATAATAGGAGCTCACAGACCTGTTGGTAAATTCTGCTCCTACCTGAAGCAGGAACAGAAATCCCCAGAGATTGGCATGATACCCCAGCATGATATTCAGCTCCCCCCACCCCCTTGCAATCCTTTGTTTGGTGTATTCTAATAGTGCCTCCCCAGAATGCAAGTCATAAATAAGTTCTTAGGAGAAACTGAGTCATGTGAGTAATGGGATGAGATTTATTCATTTTATTTATTTGGTTAAATGTCTGGCATTATCCAGTAACTGCAACTGTAGCAAGAAAATGTGTTTTGGGGAAATTCTTCATAGACCACCCTCTCCTCTCTCATACCTCTCTAGTGGTTCCAGCAGAGAACCAGTGATAGAAGAAAAAAAGCATTTGGAGTGAGAGAGAGGAGCAGTGACTAGAGCAGTGGTTCTCAACCTGTGGGTCGCGACCCCTTTGGCGGTCGAACAACACTTTCACAGGGGTCACCTAAGACCATCCTGCATATCAGATATTTACATTACGATTCATAACAGTAGCAACATTACAGTTATGAAGTAGCAACGAAAATAATTTTATGGTTGGGTCACAACATGAGGAACTGTATTTAAAGGGCCAGAAGGTTGAGAACCACTGGACTAGAGGAAAGAACAAATCTAAGAAATTTTCATTGCAGGTAGGGACTCTGTGTCTATTGCCAGCCTTGTCCACATAGCAAGGGCTCAATAAAAAATTTTTGAAAAAAAAAGTCTTCATTTTTTTTTCATCCATTACATTCCTAAACAATTGGTATTCATATTTTGATATTCAAACTTTTAATAATTTTATTTATTTATATTTTAATTGACTTTTTAAAAATATTTTTTTATTGATTTCAGAGAAAAAGGGAAAGGGAGAGAGAGAGAGAAACATCAATGATGAGAGAGAATCATTGATTGGCTGTCTCCTGCATGCCCCCTACTCAGATCGAGCCCGAAACCTGGGCATGCACCCTTGACCAGAATTAAACCTGGGACCCTTCAGTCTGCAGGCTGATGCTCTATCCACTGAGCCAAACTGGCTAGGGTAGTTTAGAGAAAGAGGAAGGGGGAAAGAGGGGGAGGGATAAAAGGAGAGGGTGAGAGAGAGAGAGAGAGAGAGAGAGAGAGAGAGAGATTGAGATTTGTTGTCCCATTTATTTATATATATATTCACTGGGTTGATTCTTTTATGTGCCCTGACCAGGGATCAAACCCACAACCTTGGCATATCAGGATGATGCTCCAACTGAGCTACCTGGCCAGGGCAATACTTTTTTCCCCCTTTGAGGCATGAATGCAACTAATAAAATAGCTCTGGTAACTTACCCGATCATTCAAAAGTTTATGGTTTAAGGGTGTCCAGGTACTCATCTTTGTCTGCATTTTGGGACCATCCGTGCTTTTGGAGGTGCAAATGCCATCATGAAATAACTGGGTATTCTTCTATAAGAAAACTATACCTATCAGAAGAAATGAATCATATCTTCAGACTACTAAAAATACCAATACCATACAATCTTTTAGTATGTTGAGAGAAGAGATTGAAGGGAAGAACACTTGCTGGGAGCACTTTCTATGTATGCTCAATTAAAGTTCATAACAATCTGGTGAGGTGGTAGGTTTTAACTTATTACATAAAGAAAATGAAGCTCATTTAAGTTACATGCTCTGCCCAAAATTATACAGACTGGAACTGGAAATCAGACTCAAGTCGATTTAACTCTATTTTCATTGGACCACAGAGGGAAATCAAGACTCACTCCTAGCTAAGAATATATCATATTGGCTTGGAAAGAAGAGGTATTTTAATTTATAAAATCACTAGAGGCCTGGTGCATGAAATTTGTGCACTGGAGGGGAGGGGGGTGTCCCTCAGCCCGGCCTGCGCCCTCTCACAGTCCTGGTCCCATCGCTCCTTACCTCTTGGCTCGCGGCTCCTTAGCGCTGCTGTGGAGGCGGGAGAGGCTCCCACCACTGCTGCTACGCTCGTCAGCCCAACTTCTGGCTGAGTGGTGTTCCCCCTGTGGGAGCGCACTGACCGCGAGGGGCAGCTCCTGCATTGAGCATCTGCCCCCTGGTGGTCAGTGAGCATCATAGTGATTGGTTGTTCTAGTTGTTCTGCTGTAACGGTCGCTTAGGCTTTTATTATATAGATAGTGCAATATGAAACACTCCATCCTTGTCCTGTGTCATTGTCTTCCTCCCCTTTTAACTTTCTGACATCTAAATAACAAGGGTTCTACCTTGATACCATATTTAAGAAGTTGAGTGATGTAATATACAACACTAAGCATTTGGAGATGGACAGTTTTGAGTTTATTGAGGGAAATGTGCCCAGTATATATTTGCCTTCATTTGATGAAAGCACTATAATTTCCATGAGGAATTACCTTTCCCTCATTGTTTACAGTTTGCTGGGTTGGTTAATCAAAGTGGCCTCCCCTTCCCTGGTTACAAGACGGAGCTAGGCCAGTTGAGATTGACGCTGGCTTATCCTTACTTTACAGCAGAGGTGGGCATTCAAAGTAGCACTGGTACTCTGCTAGGTTGTTCCTGCTGCCTCATCCCTCAGAAGCCTCTGGCCTTGTCCATTTCGTGAGCCACATGACATCCTTGCAATAAACTTCCTCTTTTGCTTACATTAGCTAGGATCTGTTTCTATTACTTACAACCAAAAATGTTTACCTCATATGGGTTTGATCCTGGTTCTACAACTTAGTAACTGTATAACTTTTTGCAAGTTATTTAATCTACCTGAGCTCCAATTTTCTCATTTGTCAAATAAGACTGTATATATATATATGTCTACACCAGGGTGTGGGCCTTTTTTCTGCCAAGGGCCATTTGGATATTTACTTTATTTTTAAAAAATACATTATTATTTATTTTTAAAGATACATTTTTATTTATTAGGGAGAGGGAGAGAGAGATAGAAACATCAATGATGAGAGAGAATCATTCATCAGCTGCCTCCTGCATGCTCCCTATCAGGCATGTTCCCTTGACTGGACTCAAACCTGGGACCCTTCAGTCTGTAGGCCAACGCTCTATCCACTGAGCCAAACCAGGTAGGGCTGGATATTTATAATATCATTTGTGGACCATACAAAATGATTGACTTAAAAATTAGCCTGCTATATTTGGTCAAACATTTAATGAACTCACCCCTAATGCCTTAGCAGGGCCAGACCAAAGGATTTCACGGGCCTTATATGGCCCTTGGACTGGACATTCCCCACCCATGATCTATACTCAACTGCCTCTGTGAATACTACAGAATAAGGATCCAGCAGACTGCCTGACAGATAGGTGGCCTCAATAAGTAGTGACATCCTTGTAGTCTTTCTTAGAACTTCCTATCATTCCCAATCGTTCATAGAGTGCCTAAATACCTGTCCTGTAGAGGGCCATGACAAAATATTTTAAGGTGGAAAACAGTTACAGCAGATTGATGCCAGTGTCAATGTATATCCTCCATGTTTCTGCCCTCCTTCCTCTCTGAAGGTGGGCTTCATGTTGAAAGGCAGTGGTGATGACTAAAGGGATCAGGGCTTGTCTGTCTGATCTATGGGTTCCAAAAATTATTCTATAGCAGCAAATATTGGACAATTAAAAAAAAACAACAACAATCATTCGTTTTAGGCTTATATGGGGTTCCCCCAAATGCTAGATCTGAAATTTTTGAGGCTTTCACTAGACATGTAATACTATCTCTCAGGTTTAAGTTGTAGGTGAAGATAAAGCCAATGTTTTCAAACCTCAGTGGCGTCATTAGACAATACCTTCCTGCAGTTACCTGCTGCCATCATACCACTGGGACAAAGGGGGCTCAGATCAACCCTCACGTCCTTCTCAGCCCCCTAACAGCCAATTATCTAAGTCACACCTATTTGGCTAAGTTGCAAAAGGCATAAGAAATGACTTCATTGCAGTATTATTCATTGGCAGCTATAAAAGTACATGTGAGTAGGCAAATTACAGATACAAAGGCATGGTCACCGAGTCTAGATCTGCCTAGTTAAAAACTACATATTTCTTTTTTGTCGTTGTTGCTATTTATCTACATTTGACCTTCCTTCTTATTAAACCAGGTGTCTTTAATTTTTCTTTGAGGGTCAAATAACTCTTTGAGAATGTGATGAAAGCGATGAATTTTCTCCCTAGAAAAAATGCACATGAACATAAAATTTTGCTTACCCCAGGTTAAAAACTCCTGCTGTAAGCCAAGAAACTCTCTCTCTTCCCACTTTGTATAGGAAAAAAGCTAGGCAAAAATTTTGAATTAGGACAAAGGAGCTTTTCTAGGACCTCCCCAAGGCCCTGCACTGATTGTTTTTCCCCCCTGGTTCCTCAAAGCTAGAAATTATTTGAACAAGGCTTTCTTCAAATCAACCTGAGGGCAATTGGTATTCAGGAGGTGGGCCTGGCCAGGAGAAACAGCCCTCTTGGTAATACAGTCCTGCTGAAGCATGAAAACGGGGTGTCCTACCCTGTCTTTTGTCATCATTCTTTCACAATTTTCCTCCTCTCCTCATACCAGAAAATAGGCAGTGTGCATATCTGCATGCACACACATGTTCACGGTATAGACCACTCAGGGCTATTATAAAGACAGACGCTTTTAGATAACATACACAAAAATAATTGCCCCCACTCCATCAACAAGACAAAGCAAGTTTTTCCCCCTCCTTCCACATCTAAAGCTCGCTGGTGCTATTTTTGTGACCTCTTTCCTCCTTCATGGCTGTTCCTGAATGTTTATTTTTAAATTTTCTTTGAAAAAAAAAGGAAGAAAGAGGACCTATGGCCTTAGCCCCCAACGTATGGTTCTGTTTCCATGTTTAACAGCAAGGATGGATCCTCCTGTAAAGTTCCAGGGGCCACACATCTCTAATTCCATCTCCCAAGTCATTTTTCATACTGTCACCATTACTCAACTTTGCTTAGGACCTGTTAGGCCTGTATTAGAGGTACAAAGGTATGAGTTTCTACTTTAATGGAGATTATAGTCCACTATTAGAGAGTTTCCTCTTTGACAAATAAAAATTATATATATTTGAAGTGTACAAGGTGATGTTTTGGTATATGTATACATTGTGAAATGAACACTCAAACTATTTAATTATTACCATGTTAATTTTCTCAGTATGAAGTAGAGGTGTGTGTGTGTGTGTGTGTGTGTGTGTGTGTGTGTGTGTGTGTTGCGAACACTTAAGATCTACTCTCTTAGTAAATTTCAAACATACATTATATTACCTGTAGTCACCATGCTATACATTAGGTCTCCAGAACTTATTCATCTTATAACTGAAAGCTTGTACCCTTTGATCAATATTTCCCCTCTCTCCCCACCCCCCACCCCCCGCCCCGCCACACACACACACACACACACACACTCCATTCCACCTCTGGTGACCACCATTCTACTTAGGGAGGGTTTTTTTGTTTTGTTTATTTGTGTGTTTTTTTAAAGACAAGTTATTTAATCATGTCCCTTTTCAGCTCAAAAACCTTCAGAGGCTTGCTAATGGATACAGAATATCCAGATTTCTTAGCATGCAAGTCTAGATCCACTATGAATTTACCTCAATCTATCTTTTGAGCCTCATTCTCCTGTCTCTCCCTTCATACACTATCTGCCCAGATGCACGAACTTCCAATCCCTCTGAGAAAACAATATGAAATTTTGATGTTTCTTTGCTTATGTGGTTCTCCAAGATTGTTCACTTGAATCTTAATCTCATGGTACATAATAAATGCTCAATAAATATTTATTAAATCAACTGAGTGAATGAATGCAACAGTGGAGGGCACAGTTTAAGGATTAAAACTAGTGAAAATATAGGGTGAAACTCAGAATATTATGAACTGAGCGCTGGGATTATACTCAGGATTATCAAGTTTTTATTTGGAATTGACAGAGCAGAATAGAATTGAGTTTCTCTGCTAACACACAAGTCACTCATTGTGTACACGGCAGTATCATTAGAGAAGGGAACCTCAGATATTATCAGGAAAGTATCAGGCAATAGGGTATGGTTAGATTTAAATACTAATTCATCTTATAGTCAACTAATTAGAAAGCAAAAGCCGTAATACAATAAAAAAAGAGCTGGCTCTTGATAGGCAAAGAAATTATTATTTGTTGTTAATTTTCTCAGTATGAAGCATCTGGCATTTTAACTGCAGCTGAAACGGAGCAAAATGCAATCCCCAGGAGCACTGACCAGGCTTGTGAGAGGCCCAGGCGGACCTGCGAGTGGAGCTCTGCAAAGAGCGTCTCCATCTTTTCCATGCACTACCCACTGCCTCACCTCTTTGAGCTGGACTCCCTCGTCAAGCCTCAAGCGCTGGTGTTGCCATAGCTGCTTTTTTCTTTGACTTTGCCCAGCCCCCACCCTCCAGCTTCCATTAGTCCAATCAT